TAGCAGAAAACTCATACAATAAACTAGGTTAATGTCGTGAAGATTGGCATTGGCTATTTGTGAAGTATATCGCACTGGTTTATGTTGAATCATTGAATAGTGATATAGTCAATATTCCAATGCCAATAAATTATTTCATGGACGGAGTAGAATTTCAACGGGGCGATGTATCATCAAACAATAAATATAAATAGTTATTGTTATTATTTTACCATGGAAGACAAGTTCATGCTGTAAATAACAATAATTACAGTAAGATACAAAAGGTGTAATAAAACGCAATGTTGACAACAGCTGGCGCTGTTTGCAAAACGCATTATCTGACCGCACTCCCATATACATGTAACACATATCGATATACTCTCGATTGCAAGAAATATACGGGTACCATTGAATTTTCATTTCCAGGGAACGGCACCAGATTGTTGATATACAGTAGGTTTGTCCACCACCAATCGTAACAGGATTGAACATACAACTCCATAGTCCATTGTAATGGACCACGGCCGACGTAGAGGAACAGATACATCCATACTAGTAACACGAAGCCATAGAGCGGGGTGAGCCTGCGAGAAAGTGGCATCCGTCACGAAACATAGCAAGAAAGTGAAATCGCGTGAAATCTTGAGCCAGTTAAAACAGAAAAACGGCGAAAAAACAACGACTTATTAAAACACTGATACGAATGTACAGGTTGGCGAATACTTTAATATAGTAATAGAGGGTCACGTGATATGTGGGTGCTAACCAGCTAAGGATTATATATAAATATGCAGTATAGTGTAAATAACAAATTCCAAAACAGAAATGACTTACCTCCAGTATCTGTGTACGTAGAAGATAATCCAATTGATTTGACGTCCGCTTTCAAGTTCTTTCAAAGTTAGGTACGTGACAAGCAGGCCACTAATTAGAGAAAATGTTCGTATGAATTATTTATGACTGTTACGTTATCTTTAAAATAAGCGCCCTCTGTGTTTGACTCAAGATTCACACCATTGAAGAACGGACTTACCTAAGTAGGAAGAACGTATCCACGGAAACCGTCCCATTTAATATGGCTTGAAAAGAAAACGTGCGCAGATAGTTTAACATTTCAAGCAAGTTATCTACGTGACAAAGAAAATTCAACTTGTGAGAGTTGACATACAGTACGAAAAGACATGATTAGTGTGTTCCAGTCTCTGTAACTAGCATCGAAACTGGCTGCGTACTATGTATTTTGATAATGGGAATCGTGATAACATGTGTTATTATCCTTAATGACCAACGCGTGATTTATTTTCTGATTAACTTGAGCCAATCTCAGCCAATCGACAGCTCATTGGTGAAATTCAGTCATGACAGGTTATCAGATGACAGCCATTCAAGAGAGCCAAATCCTATGACAGTCAGTCAGCCAGCCAATCAGATGACATCTCGGAGTCATGCTAATCAGAAGACAATTATGACTGGCAATCATAATCTCCATTTGAAGTCGATTAATTATAATTGTATTGGCCAGTCACAGGCTATGTTCCAATCCCAATTGTTATTTTCTAAAAATTTAGTATTTTTCAGATATATAAATTCAAGGATATAAAATATATTTCAAATCATACGATCATGCCCAAAATCTTAATTCAGGCATATATATTATTCTCTGTTTATATTATGTATATCGATATCGTCGTGAAATAATGATACTGGAAAAAAATAGTCTAACTTGGCGCTTTTAGGAAATTGTTTTAGTTAAATTGGTACACATTACAATTACAGGAGTGGTATTATTTTTTTCCCATGAACGAAGCATTCAAAGTCATTTTTCATAAATAATTTCAAGCTTGAAATTCAATGTATAATGTGTTTTTGTCTCACTGAGTTAATCACCGTCCTGATACTCACCTGTGAATAGTGGCGTGAACACGTACACATGACCCTGGATTACCCACCACATACTCAGCACGCGAATGCCATGAATACATGCTAATGTTCCCGACGCATGCGTAGTGTCTAATATTTTCGACGCATTTTCGTGGACAGAAAATGATAAAATAATTCTAGCGAAGACACCTGTGGGATTTCCAGAAATATTATCAGTATGAAACGAACCAAACAAATAACAGGAATGTATTAAAAAATAAACTCATTTGACACCGTACTGCCCTCTTTATCTGTGACTTTGCTGTTGTATTCTCTACTTTAACCACAGGGAGCCCAGGAACTATAATCAACTGTACGCAGTCTCCTATGAGCGGGGGTGGGGTAAGTATCGGCGGGTATCCTGGGCTCCCTGTGCTTTAACTGCTGCCCGACAATACACCTTTACAATTAGTCACGTTCTCAACAGAGAAACGTTTTTGCAACGTCAAAATAAATGTGTAGTCGTTCGTCATTTAGAAAATAACTAATCTCCATAAAACAGTATCTGTTATTGATAGACCATAGACCACATTAAAAATGGTAACGGAGTAAAAGCAGTTTGTCGCCAGAGGGCGCTGCTGAGTCTCGACTCTTGGTAACCGGGTATACGGTAAAACGAAAAGTTTGTGCTGATATTTTCGCCGAAACCGTGTTCATCGTGTCACGAACACTCATATGCAATGTAAACAAATGTGTTTTTATACCAAAACAGAGTAAAAAGTATGAACCACGCACGGGTTTCACTGTGTCTTCCTCGTGTCTGCGCACAGGCACATGTTAATATGACGAATCCAAATAGCGAACACGAAGTGAGAGAAGGGTACCTCTTTGGACCAGTGACGACATAGGGCCATATTTAATTTTTATTTGAATTTTTAACAGTAAATAAACGTTGTCTAATGTCAAGCCTTGGAAACCGCTGATGCGATTAATCGATGTAAACAACTAATAATCAGTGCTGATTGGATAACATTTTGGCCGGTAATTCTTGAATTGTGTTTTTACGATCCGGGGTGGAGACGATAGAGTCTCACATATACAATGCTTATTGCACTATTGTCAATTAATGGCGGTACACTAACCCGGTGAATAACTGGGAGATTTAATTAAAGGCGAAGTCTCGTCAAGTCCGTGTAGTCCAGTCGTTACAGCGCCATTTCCAACGTGGAATTCATCTTTCTGTATCTCTTCTTTTTTCTTGTACTTATAATAAATATAAAAATCCAAAGACGTCCCAACCACGATGAACAAACACAACAAAGTCGAGATAACACTGAAAACGCAAACGATTAAAAAGCATCATAAGACGTGTGCCAATGTTAATGTGTATTGTTCTTCTGTGGCTATTTTTTTACCGTCACAGTTATTATGATTGACAATGAGCGTATTAATGATGTTCAGACGTTGTCATGACAAACCTTCTGCGAAACCCGATGACTACCCCGTGGTTGCCACAAGAAACCCGTGGTAAAATGCACCTAACATCTAATATTGCAGTGCTCAGTAGCTCGAAATGCACCAATCAGCGCGACTCCAAAATTTACTCATGAATTGTCACATCATAGCGCCCACAAACAGGCTTCACCGATGTAATTTTCTTCCATATCTCTGGAGTGTAGTTGAAAAAATGGACACCAACGGGCGAGAATAGGAAAAAGTAATTCCCGCAAAGCTGCCTATCGTATGATTAATCGCACACCCACGACATATTTGAGAAAGAAATAATAGTAGCGTCTGCACAAATCCGAAAATCTTAAAAACTATTTCAAATACTGTAAAATAAAATGAATCTTGCATCTGGTGTAGGTACATACATTGTGATAATAGCTCCCGTCGTCAACTCGTAATCTTGAGTACAGTGTACGTCAATGACCTGTAGACCAGGTATTGCTAATGTGACCAGCCCTATGGAGAACAATTAAATAACAAGACCGTAAGTAAAACGTCATATTTCCGGGTTTTCTCGTTATATTAAAGTGATAGTAACGAATGCATCGCATTTGTAATACATAAATACCCACCTAGGTCTAAAATCAGGACTTTGAATATAAGCAGAGAACAACCCTTATTGACAATTGCATGATTCTTACAATTTTTAGAGAATTGAGTGTAGAACCCATTTGAGCTCAAAGTAACTCTGGAAATAATTTAGATTTTGATAAAACATTTCACTAAAAAAAATTACAGTAGTCGAAACTTCATGATGAAGCACGCGCATTGCGTCAATGCAACGAGCCCGCCATCGTAAATAAAAAATAATTGAACAATGCAATTGTAGAACTCGTCAAACCACACACAATTTCAGGTCTGTATGGTTTAAAAGCCGAGTCGCTCAAAAAAGTACTACAACACAATCGCACCTCATGTTTAACAAACAGTTTGAATCGTATAACTAAGTTGTATTCAGTAATGGTTTAGCAGATTGTGTTGTATTGGTACCGAACAAGACTCTATGTTGAGCCAATTTTCTATTTGCATTATATATTAATGAATTAACGAATTACCCGAATGATGATGTTGGTGGCAGCAATTATGTAAAAAGACGATGCTGATATAACAACGTGGTATGCAAGAGTGGTCAGTCAGTATCGGCAACTCCGATAGGCTCCACACATACTGTCAATACAAATCTCTCCTCAAGCCAGAAAAATATTTGTCTTGCATATCAACATCATGTCATACAAACATACATTAACACAATTTCGATGCTCGAGTCACAGACTCGGCATTGAAAAGATAGTAGACACGAAGGCGTTGCAATTACTGTATTTGTCCCAACCGTATTACTCAATATACTGCAATATTTCTGTGGTAGATAACGAATATCGTTTTATCATTGCGTGACCTTAATTTGAGAGTATACGATGAAGCTACATACCAAAAATGATTTATGTTCATCCCACAAGAAAGAAAGAAATCTTACTTTCCTTTCAATGATACAAATCGTTCAAAATCAGAAATTATTTTGTACTGTGACTTTTCTTTTGTTTCTTATAATCTGCACTACTTTCACTGAGCAGTTTTTTTTTTTTTGATTATTTACATTATTGGGCCCTTTACTGAAATAAATTATTATTACTTATCACCTCGGTTGACGAGTTCCAGTACATCGTTATCTTCACACGAGTCAGGTAAACACAGACCATACTGCAATGTCGATGCACCCTGATGGTTGAAAGGTAAACTTTAAGTTGTTATTTTGTTTACAGTTACAATTACTTGAATTATCACCACCGTGCCCATTATTGCGGTTGCTATATATGCCAATATTAGCAAATCAAAATCGTAGCCTCGCTCTCGTCTTGCTACTAACGAGATTTCGACAGTGCAGCTTCAGAGCGTTGCATTTTGAAGTGAAACCAATATAACTGTCATAAATTGACTTAAAATATGACATGGGAATATTAATCTGATTAAAATCTGATGTTTGACGGCGTGTATTTTATTTTATTTTATAGATTTTATTTTTAATATAGTACAATATTTTTATCATCCTATTTTGTATTATTTTAACTATTTTTGTAGGCTTTCTCAATTACCAAAACTTAAAAAAACAGTCAGCAAATAAATAATAAAATAAAGTATATGGAAAAATATATGATAAAATACATATAAAAAAACAATGAAAAAACAAAAACATATATAAAAGTAATATTTTGTTGAAGTAAACACATTTCTTGCAATATGGTCGTAACAAATGTGGTTGTCCAGGAAAATATGCAAGTGAAGTTCAGGCTCATCAGATAAGATTGAAAACCTGCACGACGAGTCTACTTTTAACAAATCGTTTTTGTAACAATATAAATTGAGATGACTGGTAAGAGCGCTTAAGTTTGAATACTTACTCCAGCGAGTGGAAGAAATAACAAACAGTATTCGCCATTAATAGTTGTGCCATTCATCATAATATCGTTGACGTCACGACATTCGTCAGAGGAGCCGATCCATTGGTAGTTGCCCTCTAAGACACCTGGCGGTATCTTCCCTGCTGCGTCGAACACTCACAAAGGTAAACACAAAAAAATTACAACGTTGAGCGTTGATGGCGTATTTGATGTGACGTGTTCGTGAGTCTTTAATTGAACCGTCGCACTGCCATGTCGCACTGCCATGTCTGCCATGCATTTTTCACACTCACCATGATACTATTTGGTTTTCTGCATACGCAATATTTTAATTGCTTTCTAATAATCGCGGTGAGGATATTATTTTGTGAAAAATTAAGTAATTGTTTATTGAGATACATACATACACTATTTGATATATTTGATAACAGTGATGCAATTCAAAGACCTGGTTCGTTTTGCAATGAAACTCACACATTTATGACATTCCACGGCGCAGACGCAATCCCCAGTGACGGAAGACTGCGCTGACAGACACGATGTTGGTGGATAGCAGATATACTGGGGAAATATTTGGGCATTTCAGTGATGCCACTATGACATTACTCCATTAAAATTGATAATGGTCAACGATGATTTCGACATAATTTAGCAACTCACTCTGTATTGCGTAGTCCTTCCCCGCTATCATATCTTCGGAGACTTGTATGACGTCATCAACGCATTGCTTCGTAACGTTATACGAGGTATCCGTCAAGTATATCGCCTCGGCGAAATTCTTAGCGACGAACACACTGGCGTCAAGTCGGCGTGGCGTAGCGATGTTAGTCATATAATTACTCAATGCATGGTTGTTAGTTTCAGCCGCTGTTTTTATTCTGGCGGATATCCCTTGCAATGATCCCGCGGACGCGTAATCTGGTCGCAGCGGCCGAACTTGAAGTTGGGCCAAGACGCGAAAATCACATTGTAAAAATATCAGCAGCGAAAAGCTCCATAAATTTTGAAAATACATATGGATACCTTATGATAGAGCAACAACTACGAAACGAGTTTTCGCCAATTAAGCAGATTAAGCGACAGGTAAGAGACTAGAGTGACTAAGCAATGGTTCAGTGACCTGTATACAAACTTTGACCTCGGCGTCGATGTCCCTATAACGCGTACCAAGTCGAAGAAATGGGGTGTGTGAACCTTGCTGAAATTGTTAGGCATACATGTCTAGAAAAAAACGGGATAACGACAAATGGCAATAAACCTCATACAATAAACGTCATGGGAAACAAGGAGCAAAGCATCGATGATATATGTTTCGCTATATTTTTGTCTAAAAGAAACGCGGAAAAGGTGAAACGTCAAACCAATCCGCAATATATCATTTGGCCTACGCTTTAAGTTAATATGTATGTACCTTATTCAAATACATGAAACTAAGTAAATAACACTCGCTGTGGGCGTGGACAGCTGCACAGTTTTAACGTGCCATTCCATGTTTGCTCTAGAGTCTACGTCACTTTTGTCAGTCAGTAGAGTGCGTGACGTTGCTGTGTATTAAAGAGTCGATTTTAACGAAGTAAGTAAGGGTAGCTATAGCGACGCCGCGCGTTCGACGTGTGAAACACTACATTTTGCAGGCGAAATATACGTCACATACCGCGTCGCAGCGGTTGCGGTGGCGACTGGAGGGCGTGTCACATATTTTTTTTCCATGTGAACGTGGGAATGCCACTTCTTCGCGTGAGATTTTTTTCTTCGTACTGAAAAGTTTGTATCACAGTATTGACATTAGTTTATTTCAATAAATTATGCTGCCGGTATCCACTATCGAAATACATAATCATTGTATTTCTGTTAAACACTGTTTACGAACCTGACCGGTACAGGAAAAACTGTTTTATCTAATAGTTATACAACAATATCGAAGAAGATAATAGCATTTACGGAATTCTTAGATTGAAGAAAACAAGATTGGTAATTTTTTGTCTAGGAACTTTGCTTCAATAAACGTCATAACTTCAGAAAACACAAGTTGAAATTTATGAATATACTGCACTTTGAACACTAATACACATACTGATAATAGAAGAGAAGTCACACATTTCTCGCAATTGAATGTACAGGTTCATACATACAGGTGATAAACAATAATGTTTAATTTATTTAAAGCGCTACAGTCGGGACCCATGGCAACGCATACAACGCGTGTAAAATACATTGATTGTGAAATTTGATTGTAGGGCCTTAAGGTAGAGATGCAGTTTATTTGGCTTGCTTTTTAATTGAGTAATTAGACAATGAAAATCGTATTATATATCCAACATGTTATATATTTTCTGAAAGCTTATTATACAAACTTTGTAAAACTTGTCTTTATTTTAAATATCCAGAATGCGTTTTTGATTTTGGGTCAAAAATATGCTTTTTTGGACAAAAGTGGTTTAAAAAAAATTAGCTTAAAAACTTCAAGTCCGTTTGTGGGTAAAATTACATCACTGGATACCTTAGTATACTACTAATTCAAATGCGTCCACTCATCTCTCTAACGGCTTTCAAAGTCGCACAGCATGACCTCAAAGTTCACTCTTTTCTATTTTTGCATAATTTATATATCCATGTTAATTGCGGACTTGTTATTTTTGTTCCACACGCCGTAATAAAC